AAACAAAATATTTGCGAATTTGGTTGTTTTCCGGTGTATTAAGCGTTGAGTTTGTAATGAAAGGTATTCATTTTCTTGGTTTGTAGGATGTTCTATGGACCAGGAGGGCCATATGATTTGTTTGCAGCGAAAGACGCAAGCCGAGCTCTTGCGATGATGTCATTTGAAAAGAAAGACTTGACTTGGGATGTCTCTGCTCTCGGTCCTTCTGAGCTACAATCTCTTCAAGACCGGGAGTACAAGTTCATGAACAAGTATGCCAAGGTTGGTACTGTCAAAGTGACCGGTTCTGAAGACCCTTGTGGATAAGAATGATGAGGCTCTTGCTGAGAGTAAATTTCATTTTCTGGATTGGTTCTGATTTGTCATAAAGACCAGCTTTATGAAAGGATTGAAGTATTGTCAATGATAATTTATTATGTTTCATTTTCCCAAGAACCAAGTTTGCTGATTAATAAAGCATTATAAAATTGCTTAATCTTATGATCTGAAAAAAAAATGCTCAATCAGAAAGGGCGTTGTGTTGCAAAATTACAATTTAATCAAGAAGGAAAAGGAAGGCAAGCTACCGAATCCAAAGTTTTGACTTATGAGTAAGTATTTGGCTGTACTGATTGGCTTAAAATTAAACAATGGATTCCTAAGATTTCTTATACAAAGAAGTGTCCGTCATGTTGCTTCGGCTTCGGATTCTGGAGAATTAATGTCTGATTAGCTCTTGTTGACTAAGTCAATGTCTGGGAAATTCCAGTTGTACCATGTGATTTTTTTATTTTAGTTGTACTCCAATTTTTACATTTGTACCAAATAGAAATGACTATTCCAGACAATAGAGGAGTACACCAGATAGGAGTAAACACAGATTGGAGTATCTCAGACATTTTTCCGATTCAAGAAGCCTTTGACATGGCCCGTGCTCCAAGGAATAGTAAAAAAAAAAACCAACGATTCATATGGAGTGGACTTTGACTTATGGGCCTTAGATATATTGTCATATTTATCATTGATAAATATAGGGAAATTTGGTTTAATAATTTAAAAATGTGAATTTTTTTCTAAAAAAATATTCTATTTATTATGTTTTTAAATTTGAAACATCCAAATTTTCTCTTAAAGCTAACTATTTTATATGTGAAAGACTTTCTAATTCTGATTTG